CGGTGTAGGCTTGGAAACAGAAGTGGCATCCACTTCCGAAAAAGCTTGCCTCTGGAAACTCTGTGAACTTGGAGAAAAGATAAAAGTTTTGCGTTCAAGTCGGTTCATCAGGTCGCTATGGGTCCTCTGTGACTGACTCTACAACTCTAAGGCACTTAACAACAATAGGCATTGTTATGTTCCAACACAACTTTATTATTTTTTTTAAAAAATGGACTCTAGTTTGCTAATCCCGCTTCTAAATTTAAAGAGTTTAAGGGGTAGCATAGTTTTGGAGCATAACAAAAGAAGTTGAATTTTGACATCTCTTTGGGGGCAAAAAAATTATTTTTGCCTTTTTTTTTTTAAGTTCACAGCCAGGTCCCAGAGAGGGTGAGCTGACACGCATGCAAGCACGTGACCTTGGATAAAAGGGCCAGGGGAGGAGCAGTGAGGGTGGTCCTGAGGAGCTTGATGCAGGAATAGAGAGAGGACAGCACAAAGGTAGCCGCTGTGGCAGCGGCTAACCGTCTGGGCTCTGAAGCCATGCTGTCTAGCTCTGACTCCCATGTCTGCCAATTTATTCTTAAATTTTTTTTTTAAGTCTGCCAATTTCTAAAGTCAAGTTCTTCCACCTCTCTGGGCCTCAGTTTTTCACTGGTGAGCTGGGGACGAAGCAAGTAGCAATTACCACATAGGTTTACAAGGCTGAAATGAGATACAAGGTGTAATGCCCTCACATGTCCTTGGAGTTCAAGACTCGTCAGAAAACAGGAGAAGGGAGAGGACTCAGGGCAGCTGTGCCGATGGAGAAGGAAAACTCTCAGCGCTGGAATGTCTCAGGCGGAACGAAGCAGTTTCCCTCCCACTTGAATGACAACATTTCCTACAGGAAGACTCCTGGTCAGAGCAGCTGACATCTCCATGAAGCCTGAGGCTGTGGAGGCATTTCCTGGAGCCCTCCTGCCATCTGCTCGGCACAGCACAGGGCACGTGTGAGACTGCTGACCCCAAGTGATGTCACCACGTATCATGGACCCAGGAGCAGGAGAAGGGGGATGCAAAAGCAATCCCCAAATCATTCACTGGGGGAGCACCCGTGGTGGGGGTGCCCAGGGGAGTGAGAAGAAAGGGATGTGAAAGCAAGATAATGAAGAATTACTGGTTCCCAGCAGACAAGTCCATCGGTGTTTGGGGGAGTCTTGCTAAATTCAAAGAGTTTTTGGGAAACTGAGCTAATTAATGGCTGCTGGCTCTAACTTTGAAGAAACAAACAAGTGAATATTGGATGATGCAGCCGGTTCTCTTAGAAGTATTCCTGATCGGGTATTACGCGCATGACAACAACAGAATAAGAGCTGCAAAGCAAAGTGGACTTGGGGGAGGGAGATTGTGCAATAATGAAAGAATTATTTTTTGGAAGAGAAAAGCAGACTGCTGGGGACGGGGTGGGGGGAGGCTGGGTAGGGAGGAAAATGTGCCACAAACAATGAATGGAAATCCAAGTTCTCTATAAACTTCCATTAAATCTCATCTAAAATAAAAAAAATTAAAGTCACATTAATTAGGCAAAAAAATAAAGCACTTATAAATAAATTATAAGTATTAGCATATGTTAAGATGAGTGAAGGGAAAGGCTATATACAATAAGAGGATGATCAACATCGTATCACTAAAGAAAGGGAAGAGACAGAGATACACAGCACCATTAACATAAATCAGAATTACAGGGAAGATTTGGGAAACATGCATTGTGGATAGTATAATGTTACAAAACAAAAAGGCTATAAATGGTTGAATAAAAATCAGTTCACTTTATATATATATATTTATTAACCAGAGAGGGGAATAGGGAAGCAGAAAATGAATACACATTTATTAAAATGGTGACGGGAAGGGCAGGATGGAATGGTGCATCAGAGGCTGTGGGTGTTGTAACTGATATAACAGGGCAAAATGTACATGAATGACAGGGGGAAAATGCTTTGTAAGCTTTCTCTCAAATCATAATATAAAAAGTTTAAAGCTCTGAGGGAAATTGAAAGAATTTGTCCAAATTTGGATTTGAAATTTGTAAATAAAGTAGTAGAAAATGAAAAAAAAAATTTAAAGCTCACTCTAATCTATACAAATCCCTCTAGTGATGACCCAAGTTAAACTAGGATGTAAATTGTTGTCATTTACCGTCGAGTCAGGACCGACCCGTAGCTGCCCTTCCAGTGGGTTTTCAGAGGCAGTATGTCACGTGGGAGGAGACCACTCTCATCTTTTTCTGGTAGGACAGCTGGTGGATTTGAACCACAAGCCTTTGGGTTGGCAGTGCAGCTTCTCACCAGTAAGCCACATGCTGTTGTTGTCTGCTAGTATGAACGCACGTCCCCTTTAATCTTTATGGTTGAAATTGGGGTGACAAAGGCTGCTGGACCTAGGGGGTTGTCCAGTTTCCTTTCTGTCCCGAGTCCTTGTTTGCCAGAATGGTGGTGGGCAAACTGAGAAGGCTACACCAGCATCAGACGACGACATTCATCTTTTCCTCTTGGTGTCATTTCCAGGTCATTCCAGCGACAGCAATGTCCTTGTCGGCGAGGAAGAGGGCATGCTGCAACAACAGAACTGGGGTAAGCGTGGCACCGAAGGGCAGGTGGTTGTCGCCAAGGTCGCCCAGAGCCCTCAGCATCTGTGCACCCCCACAGGGCCCCAGGGCAAGCAGAACCCCAGACAGGCACACCTGAGACAATGAGATCATTACACGATGATTAGGAAAATGAGGGGGACTCCTGCCCCCTAAAAGTCTACCTTCAGTCTTCTGTCCCTCCCTTCAGCATGTCTTGCCAATCTACAAATGAAGATTTCAAATAAGTAGGATTTTTAGGTCAGTCAGACCTCAGGTGGTTGTTTATGACTTCGCTTGTTTTGTGGGATGTATTAAAGGACCCAGAGATGCAGTTCAGAAGGCAGCCGGGGAGAGGAAAGGGCGAATGGACGGAGGACATGGGGACGGTGACGGGCTTTCACACCGTGAAATGTGGACACATTGTTGAGCTGGAAAGCAACTCCTCCATCAGTTTTAACCGATACCACAAAAAAGTGGAAAACAAACACTGAGGAAAATGCTTTCACAGTTGCCTCCTGAGAGAGATCACTCTTGCCAGGATAAGAATGTGAATTTTTCTTTATCCAAATCAGTCAGCTTTTCACACACTTAGTACAAGTCCTTGTACAAAGAAACCGCAAAACCCACCTGTTGTCTTTGAGTTCATCAGTCTAATAGTGACGCCATGTATTACATTGTAGAATGGCTCTACGTTTTTGGCTGGAATCTTTAAAAAAACCGTGCCAGGCTCTTTGTCCATACAGCTATGGGATGGGTTCAAACTGTCAGCCTTTCAGCAGTTCAAATCCACTAGCAACCCCTTAGGAGAAAGATGAGCCATCTCATCCCATGCACTTCAACAGCCTCGGAACCACAACGGAGGGGTTCCGACTTGATGGACTTGTTGTTATGTGCCATTGAGTCGCTTGCGACTCCTAGAGACCTTATTTACAAGAGCCATAAATGTGCCAACGTCGCTGTCTCAAACACACTCATTCCCATCACTCCATTCACAGAACCAATCCATCTCATCGAGGGTCTTCCTCTCCTGTGCCGTCCCTCTCCAAGGACCAGTCCCTCCTTGCAACATGCCCAAAGTATGTCAGACGAAGCTTCAGAACCCTTGACTCCAGGGAACATTCTGCCTTCACCCTCTCCAGGACAAACCTGTTTGTTCTCCTAACAGTCCATGGTATATTCAAAACTCTTCTCCAGCACCACAGCTCAAAGGCATCAACTCTCTTTCAATCAGCCCTATTCACTGTCCAACTCTCCGATGCATAGCATGTAATTGCGGAGACTATAGCCTGGATCAGGCGCACTTTGATGGTATATAACAAATATATATAAAATCATAACCATTACAAGTAATGAATGTTTACTGAGCCTCTAAAAAGTGTCACTCAGCTCAGAACATTTTCAGATATGCCAGCATCTCTCCAAGTACTATAATGGGAAATAGAATAGTATCTGTTTTATTGACAAGCAGATAGGCAGACAGCAAAAATTTCGCCAATGAAGCTCTGCTAGTCAGTGGCTTTCACACACGTCTCTAGCACTCAAAGCATCAGGGTAGACTTAGGGGACTGATTTGGGGGTCTAGGAACCAGGAGGGACCCAGGAGACAGAAGAACATGCATCTCAGTGATCAGTAGACACAGGAAGTTAGGATTTTGCAGGAAGTAGCAAGCTCAAGTCTTGAGTGAGTCTAGCCAACCCACCAGCCCACCTCTCTTGGGAGAAGTCCAGGCAGGACACTCCTTACAGGTAAGGAGAGTGAGACTGTGTCTCACATACCTGGGTGTGTCGTCAGGAGAGGTCTGGCCCTGGAGAAGAACAGGCCTGGACAAGTGGAGGGTGAGTGAGATAGCGGAAGATGTTCAAGGATGTGGATTGACTTTGACCACACTGAGGGGTTTACGGAGCTCAGCAGGGATGTGGGGGTCACGCAGGATCAGGCAGGGCTTGGTTCTGCTGTGCACGGGTGCGGTGAGCCAAAGCTGATACAAAGATACCTGAACACCAATCAAACAGCCAGCTTGACTCTCTGCTTTAATCCACACCGCATCCCACTGCGATTTTAAGACAGGGACCTGCAGGGTGACTGGAGTGGTTGCAGGCCATTAGACGCACCGGCCTGAGGCCATGGCGACGTCAGAACACTGACCAATAGTTTCCCTTCTTCCACAGATGTTTCTTTCATCCCTCACAAGCATCCTGACTGTCATTGGCGGCGTGTACTGCATGATGGTGTCCATCCAGGCTCTGTTTGAAGGGCCTCTCATCTGTAACCCAGAGGGCATGAGGACTTTGAGTTGTCAATTTTCATTTAAAAACCTGAGGTGAGTAACCCGGGTTTCACCATGTCTTACTGCTTTTGAACAGATCAGACTCATATGGTGGTGACACCCTGACATGTTCTTGATGAAACGACTGGGACAGATTCACGGGCACTTATTTAAAGCACATTAATCCTGATGTGTACAGTCGCATGTAGAATGGACACTGCCGTATAACCGGGATGTATCAGGTGTGGCCTTGCCTATGAGGAACAGCTGGGATCTCGAGTGACTTATCCTTGTTTAAAACCCCACAGCGATGCCGTGAGTGCCCTGCACATAGGGATGGGAGCTCCTTTCTTTTTCTAGGCACACCTTAGTTTCTTTTTTTTTTTAAAAAAATTAAGTTTTTATTATTAATTTTAATGAAAATTTACAGAGATTTTGGATTTCCATTCATTCATTGTTGCACTTTTCTCCCTGCCTACCTCTCCCTCCAGTTCATTCTTTGCTTTGAAAAGTAAAATTGTTTCATTGGTATACAACCCCTCCCCACAAGTCCACTCCACTATGCAGCCTCGTGCCACTGTTGTAAAACAGGACTGACATAGGGGTTGTGGGGGAGACTGAGAAAGATGGGATAAATGATGTATACTGCATTGAAACAGATGAGAGCGAGAACTGTTTAAAAGGGATATATGATTAGGTATTATTGTCGTGACAGGAGTTCAGAACAAAGGGAGCTCCTTTCTTCTATCTGCATGGCTGCACGAGGGGCTGGACCAGGAGAAACTGTTAGCACTCAACCACATTTCACATACAATACATACGATATTCGCTGTTTCCTATGGTTCCAGCCAAGAACTAATACTTTCAAACAGCTTCTTGAAAGATGGGAGATACAGCAAAACCTGTGAAAGCTGAAACCTAGATGAGTTAGAAATACTTGTCAGGGAAGGAAAAGGCAAGTACTTTCTACCAAAACACATACCCTGCCAGACATGGAAAATAGGAGTCCCAAAATAAGGAGTCCAAGTTCCGACTCTCACAGCTGTCAGTGCATAATGAACCAGCGTTAGAACTATGAGTACAGCAATCTAGGCTCAGAAACACTGGTATTAGATACCAGTTATAGTTTCTGGGCAGGGAGCGCTGGTGGCCCAGGGGCAAGGATTTGGGCTGCAAACTTAAATGCACACAGTTCAAATCTACTTGCTGGTCTGTGGAAGAAAGATGGGCAATCTCTTCCTGCGTGTTTTACTGCCCCTTGAAACCCACCAGAGGGCTGTCTATGCATTGGTTCCAACTCTGCAGCACATACAACATAGTCTCTGGGTGCTTGTATTCTGAAAGGGTATCCTCTTTCTCTATCCTTGTCATTTTCTGGGCCCAATGCTGCTTTCCTGTGACATTTAATGATATTCCAAAGGATCTTATTTCCCTCTTGTTTCTTTCTTCAGTGCCATCCACACAGAATCCTTCAATCTACAGTGGTTTCTGAATGACACCTGTGTTGCGTCCGCTCCTAACAATGGCACGAACGGCAACTGGATAACATCGGGACTGCACTTCAACAGCAAAGAGAACGCGCACAGGACGATCCACGTGTCGGTGTTCCTGGGCCTGCTGCTGGTTGGGATCCTCGAGGTCCTCTGTGCACTCTGCCAGATCGTCGCCGGCTTCTTCGGCTGTCTGTGTGGGGTCTCCAGGCGGAGAGAACGAGTTGTGTAGATGTCACGGCAATAAAGTGCGATTACGAGTCGCCTCAATCATCTGAGAAATGCACGCAACATACACTTGGAGAAATACAATAGTGGAACATTATCTGGAAAGCCTTATGTGTTATTTTAGTAAAGAGAGTTGCTTTTAATGCCATCTTTGAGGTAGTTCACAATCATTCACATATAAGGAATGTTGCTATGTTCCTAACAGTTTCATAAGGGCAGGGGGGAAAAAAATCACGTCGTTGACTACATGTGAGAAGTGGAAGATAACCTTCAATTTCTTTTCTGTATTTTTGTACTATGTACCATTCAAGTTTTGTAACTATACTGTGTGTGTGTGCGCGTGCGCGCCTGTCTGTCTAGAGAAACAGACAGGAGAACAAAGATGAATGAATGAGAATTGACATCACAAGGTCTAACTCAGTACCCAGCTACAGGAGCTGCAGGGAGTGACAGCGCTCAGACCCAGAGGGGCCGTGAGACAGAGGTCCCTGCCTCAACTGGAAAACACCCTGAGCAGGCAGGGGGGATGGCGGGAGAGTGTTCTAGAAAAGGTCAGAGACACACGCCACACCCACCCACCCTATCAGGACCCTGCCGAGCACCTAAGGCCACCTGGGCTTCTACCTGGGCTGGACAGATGGACTTACTGGGATAGCTTCGACAATGCTTTTATGGTAATACAGAAGAATGTCCTTTTAATAAAAATCATATTTATGTACTTGAGGAAAATGTCCTATTTTAAAAATATTTCGGCAGAGAAATGTTCACAGTTACCGTTTAGGTGTTGGGTATATTGTGATTATGTTTTGCCATTTCCCTACATCTGCATGTTTATAAATCATTAGAAAAAACAGTATCTAGAAAAATGTCGACTGCTTTTCAAAAGCTAGTTTCTACATGGCCATCTGTGAAACCAGAAAATGACAATCTCCTGAAGTGATCACTCTTGTATTACTAGATTTCATGTTCTAGGTTCTCCTGGTTCCCAAGATGATTTCCCAAATCTACAGTTTCCAGTTTCTCAAATAACTTAGTGACATACACAGGAGGATGAGAGCACACACACACACACACACAGAGACATGCATGTAGTTTACCTACAAGGACATTCACGGCAAATCAAAACTTCCAAATTTGACACTTGAGGTAAAAATATTTCATTTCACTGTTAAAATACTGGCAAGGAAATGGAAGAGACACTCCTGCGCTGGAGGAGGAAGAGCAAAGCTTTCTGGATAAATGACTTGGGAATGGCACATCAACTTTAGTGTGTGAAAATGGGGTGACAGCCCTGTACTTGCTACGCTTAGTTAGATGAGTGTTGAGTTAGACTGATCATTAGATTATTGGTTCCTAATCTATCTGTGAGAATGGTTACCCATGGCGGACACTGTTTGGTGGGGCTCCCCAATTAAAACAAGCTTTGAAAGCAGGAGTGGCATCCACTTCCACAATAGCTTGCCTCTGGAAACCCTAGGAACCTGGATAAAGGACAAAAGTTATACAGGAGGTGTACAGGACTTCGTTCATAGGATTGCTATGAGTCACCTGTGAATCGACGGCACTTAACAACAACAACAACAACTCTATCCTGTACTTGGGCTTCTCCCTGCATCTGGAATCTGTCTTCAGCTTCTGCTCGTTGGAATTCTATACATGTCAAATTTTAGTTCAAATCTCTAAGAAATATTCTCTAACTATTCTAACGAAAGTGAATTCTTCCTTGTTAATGCCGGAGTCCCTCACTTACCATGATTAACACTTTGTAGGGGAAGCAGAGTGGCCTAATCAGGGGTTTGGAGAGATTGGAGTTGATCCCAAACTCTTTTTCCAGGTCCTAGGCCACTGACTGAAAGGTTGGAAGGTCAAACCTCCTCAGGGGTAGCTGGGAAGAACGTCTCAGTGACTTGCTTCTGAAACGTCAGAGCATGAAAATGCTGTGCAGCAGCTCTACCTGGAAACACAAGGGGTTGCTAGGAGTTGGAACGGCCTCGAGGCCAGCTGGTTGGTTTTCTAGTTCTAGACACAGTCAAGGCCAAGAAAGGCACGCTTCTTGCAGAGAAACCGGCTCCACGTTCACCCTGCACGGACAATGCAGTCTTCCAGAGACCCTGCTCTACAAAGCCCACTCCTGCACACCTAGTGCCTGCCCAGCAGAGGGCGTCCTACCTGCCCCCCCTGCAGAGCCACTGAGTCAAGGGCCCAGGTCTTCAGTTCAGTACAAAAAGACGGGGGAGAAAGGGGCCGCTATGCTTTCTTACCGCCACACACCCTGTTTTGACCTCTTCCTGTCCTTTGTGGAATTCTTTCATGTCTGCTTGGAAAAAGAGGTGGTTTTTTTCTTTAGTCCATCATTTTAACTTTATTCTTGGGAGGCTCACTCACAGAGACTGGATACCCCCCCCACACCCATAAATACATAAGTGTTTATTTATTTTAAAGGAGCACTGGTGGCATACAGTGCTTAAGTGTTGGGTTGCCAGCCAGAAGGCTGGCAGTTTGAATCCACTAGTAATGCCCTGGGAGAAAGACGACGGAGTCAGTTTCCATAAAGATTTAGAGTGTCAGGGCCCAGCCAGGCGCTAGAGGGCTGCCAGGAGTCCAATGTGCCTGAACAGTCGGGTTTTTTGTTTTTATATATATAAAAAATTAAACTATATATAGAAATAGATATACAATAAATATGTGTGTATGTAAATATATAGGTAATATAACTGCATCATTAGAATATTTTTTAAAAAGCTTTCCATGAGGAAAAGTCTGTTACCAAACTGAAGCTAAACCTAAGGTATATGAAGAATAATCTTCCCTTTAGTAGGTTTTTTTACAGAATGGGGAGATTTAGGGAGAAACAAGAACAGAAACAGTAAATCTATGTGTATCTAAGAAACTTCCCTCAATTGCCTTTCCCAAGCCTGCTCACTGCAGGTGTGTGAGGAAGAGGCCGCACCTTACCCAGGCACCTCACGAGGCCGCCGTTTGGAGAAGGGCCCGCGGGACCCAGCAGGCTTATTATGCCTCATAAAATCTAGCCCACTGGCAACTAAGCACTATGATGGAAAGAGGATAGACACTCAGAAGGGCTTCGATCTGGGCCACTTTATGAATATCACAAGTGAGAAAACAGGTGCAACCAATGCCCACCACCAGCAGGAGGAAGGTTCGAAAGGAAAACAAGAGGGTCTATGCCCCCAAGTCACAGCCGCAGCATTGGCTCCTGAGACAGGACGACTCGGGCTCACACCTGAAGCCCAGAATTCACATCTCACACAAGCAGAATTAGCTCCCAGCAAAACGTGATGAAATAAATGTTTTCGATACACAAACATTGCTTTGGTTGACGGTTTATTAAATACACTACATTTGTACCTTAGTCTGCAAATTTTAAATCAATCACACAAGGGCTTAGTAAAAACGTATTTTATAGAAAATCATCTGCAAAACTAAAATGAGAAGAATGAAGGCTTTGCACACGTACTGGAGGAACTGCTGAAATGTTAGGATTCTGTCCTTTAGTCCGTACGGCAGCTTGATGAGAATGCACACAGGTGGCCGGAGCTACCAAGTCTGGCACTTAAGGACCGGACTGTGTGGAGGGGGAAGCGCCAAGCCGTGGGTGCACAACGTCCAGAAGCAAAACCCATTCGATCTAACACTGCTCGAGAAACAGGACAGAGTACTGTTTTTCTTTTAGAGACCCTTTTCTAAATGTTTTCTTTACGCACGCCTTATCTCATCGGTACAATGAGCTGTGTACTCTGATGAGGCAAAGAAATTCTCTCAAAACCAAACTGGAATCTATTTACAAAACATGCAGCGGGAAATGGGAAGCAGGTGCTGCTGTCTGCACAGTCACTGGTGACGAAGGAAGGAACGAACAAAGGAAGGAACGCGGCGAGTGACAGAATCTTCCTTCCCTCTGGCAGACCCGGGCTGCCGCCCTCCTCTCCAGGAGAAATACACCTTCGGGGAATGGACTATAAAACGGCATACAATGCAGAGACGGAAACAAAGACGTTTGCAAATTCTTTATATTTCTAGCTGTGCAGACAAATATTTTTCAGAGCTTAGGTTGCCTCTAGCGGCGAAACCAGAGCCAGCTGTTAAGGAGCCAGAACGCTACAGTAATTGAATACATGACCATTTCTCTTTTAGCACGTTCTTTGTTCTCTTCTTCCAGAAGCTGTAGACGTCTATTTAGCTTGATTATCTATGGGAGGTAGGGGAGAACAGAAAAACAAAAAGATGTTTTCATTTATGGAGCAGATCCTTAGGAAGTAAGACAACAACTGGTAAAAAAAAAAAAAATAAAAATTTTAACACATCCAAACATTTCACATAGAGAAAAATGAAACAAAACTAAAGCAGGTTCCCCAGGTTAGCTTAAATTCAATACCTTTCCCCACTTCCCTTCCCCAACTTTCTGACTTAGAAAGGTTCCTTCCTTCCTTCCTTGATTAGATGGGGAGGTGAGGAAGACTTCCACCTACTGCCACTCTGGTAGACAAACCGTGTAGGTAAGCTCATCACCGCAGAAAAAGAGACCACTCCTGCTCCTTCCACACCCTCGTCAGTGTGCTGTCACTCAGCCTTGGCTGCTCTCTTTAATGTGGCACCGCCACGTCTGAGTCACTGAGAAGGGCCCTGCAGTAACCTATTGTTGTGGGCTCTGAGATGCACCACCTACACCCTTCAAGACTAGAAGGCTATCTAGTGAGTATCCAGCAGATGGTGCACAGTACTGTCCCTGGTTGCTGGGTGTCAGTAGGAAATGTCCTTGGTTATCCAACTTCCTTCCTAATCCAACCTTGGGGCAGTGCGCGCGCACACACACAGGCCGACCACACGGGAAACGTCATCCCAGCGGGGGCTAACTGTGGTCCCCCTATCTTCAGAGCTCCTCCCGGGCTGGCTGCAGGTCTGTGGAGAGGACCCTGCAGTCTGACTTCTTCCTCTTCCCACCTCTGCTTCCCTTCCTTCCTCTGTGTGCGTGTGCTCATCTGGAAATCACTCGTCACTAAACCTTCTACAGTCACACGTTCAAGAGAGAATCTGCTTTCCAGGGAATCCAATGTGCAGCATGAGGTAAAGCTAGAACCCAAAACTCCACTGTCACTGTCAGAACGGATTCTGACTCCTGGGGACCGTCCATCAGGCTCCTGAGATTCTGTGAATCTTTACAGGAAGATACTATCCATTTGTGTGTGTGTGTGTGTGTGTGTGTGTGTGTGTGTGTGTGTGTGTCTGTCTCCCCCGGTCCCCCGGCCAGAGCGCCTGGTGGATTCAGACCCCCGACCTTTCGGTTAACAGCCCAACACAGAACATCATACTGCCACGAGGGCTCCTTTAACGTGCTAAGAATGTCTAAAAGATGACTCCACTAGGGAAAAAGGAGGTGAATTATTGCTAAATAGTATTACAGTGACATGAGGCTTTGCTATCCACAGGGCGGTAATGATGAAAGTGGGGACTACTGCTCTAAACAGGATATGAACATAATTTAGGATCTGATCGCATCTGGTACTTTGAATACCTGTCGTCTTAAAGAAGCTGCATCTACAACAGTCATGTCATCTGCAGTTGCTTCAATTGATGTATCTATATTTGAAATGCCATACCTAGCAGAAAAGAAATAAAACTCGATTTAATATTAAGCTGGAAGGAAGAGGAAATGCCAAGTCACTTAACATGGTAAGCAATGCTCAAAGATCAAAAACCTGGCATTTTAACTGCAATTACTAGTCACCGCAAGTGGCCAGGATGGATTCTTGTGACAATTACACACATTACTAAAAAAGGAAGGGTCTTGAAACTTTAAAAATGAAAATAAACTCTGAGTAAAGACATTATATTAGGAGAGACTTTTCAACTCAGAGAGACTTGTAATGCTAACACTCATTCTGGCTCAAAAGCCTGTTGGGAGCTGCCCATCCAGGATACACCACCACTCAACTGTGGCCTGAATTCAGGTGCCCATCCTTTGATAAGCTGCAGACTTTCTAGGAGGGTCTGTGAAATCAAAGCAGCAACTCTTCAAACAAAACAAACAGGCTGTCATCTCTCCCCCTTTCTCCACTGGTTCTGATGGCGCACGCTTGGCCAACTGTGGTCCTCCCACAGGACAACAGACCCACCTCCTGACCGCCTGGAGATGCAGACCCAGCTCAGGAAGGAGGCAGAGGCTGCACGTGAATAACAACACCTGAGAGCACGAAGACCAGCCCAGAGCAAGCGTGTGAGGGGGCGCTCTGTTCAAGTGCAGGCACCCCGCACTTCCTCTAAAGGGGAACAGATCCCTTAGTGAGTGACAACAAGCTTGAGAGAATCAGTTTACACAAAGGCCACTCTTCCCATTGGGGTACATTTCTTCTACCTTTTTTTTTAACAAAGTAGCTTTTTTGAGCTTTACTGAGGTACAATTTGTGTGTCACGGAATTAATTTTAAAGGTGCATCTATTTTATACTTAATGTAAATCTTTTAGCATAAGGGCTTAGTGACTTTTTGGAATGAACAACATGTAAGTATATGGAATGTAAAGGTTACCCTGCAGGACTCTGCAGAGAGCTGGCCCATAGGAACACATACTGGAATCGTCCAAGGATGTCCGTTCAGGCACATCAAAGACAAGGTTAATCAGAAAATGTGCTTTTGTTTCTGAAGCTGCTGAAAAGAACTCGGACACTTACGCTGCCTGGTAACCAACTGAAGTGTGGGAACAGAAGGTGTCCCCAGCATGCAGTCCACGCTCAGCCAGTGTCACCCTCTTACACTGGTCACGGTCAGTAAGTGATGAGGACTGACTCTAGAACTGGCTTTTGGGGCCTGATTGACTTGCTTTCTTGTTAACTGCCCTCTCTCGTGAACATTTCTAAAAGCTGGGACAACATCGGAGCTGTAAATGTCAACAATTTACAACTTCATCAAAGGATCATTCAATGATTAGTGAGGAAGAAGAGAGTCTTTCTCAACACTCAAGTCAAATAAAATGATTCTGTTTCCTGGAGGTCACATGTGGTATGAGGAATTGGGGGGAAAAAAAAAAATCAAGCGATGCCTCGAAGGTGAGGAGAGGCTGCACTGTGACGCACTGTCAGTCGGAGCTGACTCATAGCTGACTCTCCAGCAGGTTTTCAGAGGGAGTCAATCACATGTGAGGAGACTGCCCATCTTTCTCTTGCAGAGCAGCTGATGGATTAGAACCATAAACCTTTGGGTTGGTAGTGCAATTCTTTGCCACTGCGCCACTAGAGCTGATCATGGTGAATGAAATACGACAGTTCTAAATGAACTACAGTTTTAGAGATCTATACAGAGAATCTACATTTAAAACAAAATCTAAGGCCACAGCAAAAGACTGCCAATTTAATTAGACTTAAAATGAGAAAAAAAATAATTGTCTTTTAAACTAAAATCTGTTATTTATAAAAAATAAAAGCCGTGTAGAAACTATACAAAGGATCACAAAATTAGAGGACCTAATACAGTAAAAGAAAACAAGTGAGCACAAAGGCCAGATGATGCCAGGGCGCAGCCTCCCCGCTTCCAAGTGAGCCCAGCGCTAGTGACAAACTCATGTTCCCCTCTCCTGCTTGAAATCAAGTGTCTTCTTCCAAGCACAGACATTAAGGATCATTTACAAGCCACTGCTATAAAAAACCACACTTCTGCCAGAATTAACAGTGGCACTTGCAAACTTACACTAATGGCATCTGTGAATTTCAGTCCATTTTGGGTTGTGTGTGCGCATATTTCCCCAAAGATGGGAACACTAACTGGGGACTCTGGTCTACATGTCTGCACATGCCATCCTGCCCGTCCCTGTGCCAGCAGACTGGGAGGAGTTAAACACTCAGGATGAGCATGTCAAAGTGTGAAAGGGCAAAAACAAGACAGAAACGCTTCAATCTCAGAGAATTTAAACTCTTAAAATCAAAGCGCCTTTACAATGCCCGACTTCCTGAACTTGGGGTCGCTGAGGCTGAGCCCCAGCTCTGAGTGCTGGGGGACACTTGATGACACATCTCCCTCCACACTGCGACTCACAGCCAGAAAGGAAATGCTGCAGAACCCCCCCACCGAGCAATTCAAACGATGCGCGGGACACAAGATGGAGGGTCTTTCCCAATTTTAAGCATTATTTCCTAAATGCTCTTCAAATTACATTTAATAAGACGTCTCAAAGGCCACACGCTCTACCATAACTCTTGGTCGTTTTCCTCATGGTATGTGGCCAAGCGGTACAAAGGATAAGACTTGTTTTTCTCACAGAGAAGCAGGGATTAAGCAAAGCTACCACGTTCAGGCTAGAAGGTGAAGGTGCGGTTACAACATGCATCATACTGCAACACACGAGGCCGGGTGACTACTCACCCTGTAAGTGACCGAGTCACAACATTTACCTGACGTTGTCATGATGAGGGTTAGAAGTGGCGGCGGCAGACCCACCACGCAACACAGGTCTAAGGCAGGTTTTGCGGAGAAGGCACAAGACAGAATCAGGAAACAGAGAGGTAATAAAATAAAAGCAAAAACAAGACAAATCAATGTCAAATAGGATTATATTGTATGTTTCAATACAATATAATATCTCTCAAGTACTCTAAAACAAATTGTCTGCTAGCGCCTTCATCTTCTGACTTTCATAAATTTAACAACATTACAATGGATTAAAGATACAAAGGGAATCTGTATTTTTATCAGGAAACAGCACCAACACAGAAAATAATTTTACTCTGGTGCTTCAATTTTATTTTACAAAATTCAAGACAAAGGACAAGGCTCTTAAAAGAAAAAAACTTAGTTCTCTCTTCTAACTGAAGAAAAAAACAACTAACAACTTTAGATGTCAAAGTGGTTGGCAGCACCTGCATGCTCCTGGTTGCTCATCTGAAGTCAAACAGCTCCATCCAGAAACCATCAAGCTCACCCACCCACCCTCCCATCCTCCCTCCCTCCCAGCTCCATCGTCCTGATCAGGCCTGAGGCCATAATGTGCACATCCAAAGCCTCCACTCCCAAAGCGAAGCGGCCAGTGTTAGCTGTGCAATGCGACTCCCAGGAACAAGCTCTGCAGGTGCAAACCCGCGAGGGAATGTGGTCTGGAGTCAACCAGGAGAGCATACGGGGCGGTGGGACAAGAGGACCAAGTGCACAGGGAGACTCTGTGGGGTTCTCACACCGTCTTGGCACAAGCTTGGCTTCTAGAAGACAATTCCTTCTACCGACATAAGCTCACCTCTCCAAGAAATTCTATTTCCTTAAATCACTAAACTAAAGCTGGTTGTTTCTCCAAGAAGTGACCAGCAATACTTAGTAAACTGAGAAAATGAATGATTAGAGGCAGAGGGTCCATCAAAGGGCACCGGGAATCATCACATCGACTTTGAGTGCCTCATTCTTTAAAGAATGGATTAATTTTTGCCTGAATTTAAATACCAAGACAATTAATAAATACAGGAAATGATTAGTACCAAATGTACTACATCCACCCCCCCAATTGGCAAAGCTATAGAATTTTGCAGGGTTTAGGGCTATTGTACATAGGGTCGCTATGAGTCACAAGTGACCTGATGGCACATAACAACAACATAGAATTTTTACCACCAATCACTATTTTCTGACAAGTTAATTCATTAAAGGACATTTAAAATTTAGCTTCTACATATGCTAAAGGCATTGCTGGTCTTTGAAGAGATTTCTGGAGCCGAGAGGACAAAGGATTCTGAGACTTTTTGGGAGACAGGAGTCTTTCAGTTTGTGTTGGTTCTACAACAGTGAACCATTGCATATGCTTGAGTCAGTTTTTCAATCCGCCCCATCCTCCTAACTTACTCACTCTACACTATCAGGAAACTGCACTGAACAGTAATCGGCAAGAATACTAGTGTGAGAATGGTTAACTAAATAAAACCACCACATTAAGTACCGTAAAGCAGTAATACATTTTTTTACGTATATGTTCAAATGGATCTGCCCCATTCTACTGGTTCCACCACAGAGATTTCCCTTTTATAATGCACAGCTAGAAAAGAATACAGTTACCTTTCACAACGTATTTCATTTTGTCTTCTCACACTGGCAATTGGCACACATAATATGAAAGCAAATTAGACAGGCATTTGGTAAAGTTTGAAAGTTCAATCAAGTACCACTCTCTATCAAGTATGATGTAATACATATTTAGATCTGTCTCTAGTTTGGTAACTAGCATGCTCAATGCATCTTCTGCACTTAGAACAACAAAAGGAAAGAAAGGGCCAAGCTCTGAGTTCCTCCATGAACTTGTTACAAAGACACTTAGGGGTCATAAAATAGAGTCTGACTTTCACACGTATTTTTGTTTGCAATAAAAATGTAAGTTACCAACAGTAAAGAAACAGTTTTGGGGACAAGGAATTGCATATTGCTTTAAAAAAGACAAATTATTAGTGACACTGTATTAACTTGGCAATTACATTTGTCTTGCAAATTTTATCTATATAGTAATACCTGCAATATATAGAACTTTTTCACATACTGGTTTCTTATTCTGCTCACTCAAAACGAGTATAATATATAAAGCAAAGAAACCTTATAAAAACTACAGAAAAATAACTCCTCTCTGAAAACTTCTGCATGCTAGGTGTGACTAATGAGTTGATATTTTAAAATATTCTTATACAGAAACTGAATTTTCATTTAAAATCTTAGAATCTGGCATTGAGAATGAAATACACCTCTCTTAACAGGTGTTGGATAGAGACATGGGCAATTCCTAGTCAGCTCAGGTCAGATCTCGGTCATGTTTAAATTCTGCTGCCTCTGAGCAGAGAACACATCTGATACTTATCCCAGGGACTTCAGCCAATTGTCAATCTTGCAAATGCACAGTGCTGAGATGGGTGTCAATTTTTCTACTCTATACCTAGAAGCTTGAGATACTCAGTTTGGTTTGGATTATCTAAATACTCAGAGGACAGGAAAATAAAAATGCAGTTTATAAAATTGTTCACAATGGTCCTTAAAATATAAAAAGCTGTCATGCCCAACAATCCTGAATCTGTTTACTGTACAGTAACAAAGCAGAACAAAGCTTTCCATCTTTTTCTTCCTGCCAAATAGTTCTTGCTTGATTTAAACATACCTAATGGGATGGCATAAGACCAAGGATAAGATCTTGTTGTATTAGCACAACAGTCAAAAGCAATAAAAATAGAAAGGAAAAATAAAATGAAGCACAGAGCAAAGAATATAAAAGCAGTTAAACTCTACAAGTAGTATTATTTTATAGTCATGCAAACAGAGTATTATCCAAATTTCACATTCCTACTTCTTGTATCTGAAAAGTTCTCGCAGTAGAAATAAAAACCGACTTGGCACTTAGCAATGTAGATTAATTTTGTTAAACATAGATCACCAGAGATTTAAATTATACATTTTTTTTAAAACTACTTTTTTTTAAAAATTTTTTAATTTTATTTTATTATTTTTGTGTGCGTGTACCGTCAAATCAGTTCTGGCTAGTACAGAAAAATTACCCTTTAAGATGGTATCTGGGGCAATAGGGAGTGTGTGGGAGTCAGTGTGACTGGGACAGGCTAGGGTCTCTATGAATCGCAGGCGACTTGATGGCAGGTAACAGCAACAACCACTACCTTTTAATAATGAAAGCATCCAATAAGACTGACCCTTCTAATAAGAACCTAACCCTTCCGAGCTCAACTCAGGATGCATCCACAAGAGCAACACAGTATCGATATAAATCACCTCCATGAATTTTTTAAATCTCACTGAAGTGGTCAGAAAAGCACAACTCTTCCCAGAAAAAAGAATTTTTTTAAAGGGGTCAGTTCATTAAAAACAATTTCTTAAAAAAAGAAAAACCACTTAGAGTAGTCTTATCTGTAGTCTTGTCATTAAGATGTTAAAGCTGGTGCCTAGTGAAGAAGAAATGTTTCAAAGAAGGGGAAAGAAAACAGCTTTGTTTAGTAGTATTTCTTAATATAATAACTTAATGCATCAAATGATATTTAGCATCATTTGAGGAGTTTTCTATACCTCATTAAATAAAGTATCTGAGGCAGCTCTGCAGGAGTGGAAGTGTGTGTGTGTAAGAGTTTAACAAATGAGGAAAATAAGACCCCAAAAGATTATGTAGTCTAGCGCATTCATGCAGCTCTCTTAAACCTTTCCCTACTGAGAGATACTTCTAAGTACAGTCTCACTCCCCCTTGTCACAGCTTTCCCATTTAGACCTTGCTGGCACCGCTTGGGGGCTCGGGACTGGCAGCAGCCGGTGCTCTGCGCACACGGGGTCATGGCGTGTGTGACCCACCAGGGCTTGTGCGAGGAGAGAGAACACCCACCGTGTCAATGTTCCTTCTGAACAGCCATGGTCCCCTCGCGGCTTTAGACCCAGAACAAAGGCTGCTGCGAGGGCCAGCTTGCTTTTATGGGCTGGTTTTGAAGATTCAGCAATTAACGGTGGGATAAAATAATAATGAAAATTCAAGCACTGGCTCACACAGTCAATAAAAATGTTCGGAGTTAAATGAAGCAGACTGTACCTTTCCCTTATTATGGCAAAAAAAGCAGCCACATTTTATCTTTCTTAACTGTCTTTTAAGATTATTTATGTTTATAAAAAAAGATGAACTTGACAGCACACTTCCTTCCTCATTGACACACATAAAACAGTGTGTAATACTGGACTCTTGGGATAACCATATACCAATGAAGGAGTTTTTCTTCTGCTTTTCGAAGAGAGGAGAGAACTGGGGCAAAGAGAGGGACAGGGAGAAAAGTGCCACAATGAATGAATGGAAATCCAAAATCTCTGTAAATGTTCTTTAAAATAAATAAAATTTAATTAAACAAAAGAAAACAAACGCCAAAACAGTATGTAATAACGAGGCAGGAAAAAGTACCTGAAAAGTTACATAAAATCAAACTGGCACTGCTAGTGCTTTTACTTGGAGATGTTAAAGACCGAGTTAAGTCACAATGCTGAAAACTATTAGGACTATCAACAAGGTGAGGACGTGGGCTGCCAACACAGGCCTAGGGGGCTCTAGCTAACAGGCAATAAAAATGTCCTGGTAGCTACACTGATGTTCCCCTTCCCAGACTGCTTCCTACATGAGTCCAACCATATTACTGAGAGAGATGATTAAATCAAAAGAAGTAGCAAAAACCATGATGCTAAAGTCGAGTGTTCCACTCAGTCCAACACTATCTCCCAACACAACACAGAGTGGACTCAAACACTCAGGTCAACCAAGCTGGACCAAAACCCACTCCACTCCTGCATGGACTTTGTAAGCAAACACTCTGACTACAGGGAAATGTGAATTTTGGACAATAATTTTAACAAGGAAAGAAAGCAAAGCAAGCAGTCTCAAGCCACGGCGTCTCAGGAGGAGGCTAGAAGGTGTGAACATAAAAAGGAAGACACCAAACCCACGACAAAACAGGCCAAAAAAAAAAAAAGCAACAACAAAGCGGCAAGAGTCACCAACGGCCAGTCACCTGCGGTTTTCATCCAGCACATCCAAGATCTGCTGGTAAGCCCTACGAGTGGAAGACTGGATAAGTGACAAAATGCCACGTGCAGAGGAGAGATTAGCTCCATCTTCGGGTAACACATGGGGAGGGCAGACCCGGGCCTGGGGCGGCGACGGTGTCACACTGTTTACACAGCGCAGCAATGAAGAGAAAGAGACTCAGGTCAGATTGTCATCAAACTTCAGCTAAGGACTTTCCATGTACATTTTAAGACGGATTTCTGGTTTTCTTACCTTTGTCTCGCACCCTTTGATCCCTTCCCCCAAAGTCCCACAACAATTACTTCCTCCCCCAGGAAAAGAGGTCACAGCAAAGTCATTAATAAGCATTTACAAGTCTTTTCAAAACCAGCTACCACATATGAGCATCCAACAAAGTGCATCTGCAACAACGTGAGAGCGGAAGAGAACCATGGTGCTGAGCTGGTGAGCGTCCTCGTTTGGAGGAGGAACATTTCCCATTTAGTGCACACATTCCAATTCATTCCACCACAGACAAACATAAATGCACATCCATTTACAGGCACTCGAGAGACAGAGGATTCTGGTACACAGACATCAGGTCAAGTTCAAACACACGAATCCAAACATGAGTCCATGAAAATGCCACTTCAAACACTTCACAACTAAACACAAGAAAGCAAGCCGAACTCATGATGAATAAAGTGCACTGATCAAAAGATTAATTTCCCAGAAAATTTTGATTGTGTAACTATAATAAAATCTTTTCTCTAATTAAATGAGTGAAATAAAACATCTCTCAATTCTGTTTAGTGAAAAGAGGCAACTCAAGCTAGCTATTAATCCTTTCTGGGTTTTTTTGGTGACAATTAATCAAAATCTGTTGGTGTTGATTCTGACTCAAAGCAACCTTCCAGGACTGGGGAGAACTGTCCCAGTGGTTTCTGAGGCTGTAATCGTCTCTTTCTTCACTGGAGTAGCTGATGGGTTCAAACCGCTGACTGCTTGGTTGGCAGGTGAGCACCTCGTCACTGAGTTACCATGACTCCTGTGGTGACAGGATGTCATCATTTTTTTCTGTGTGAGCAGAGCCACGTCGTCTCTGGCTCCCTGTCACTGTTCCCTAAGAAAGGATCAGCTGCAAAGGCAGTTCTAACCTCAACTCTAAGATAAGGTCACCATCCCCACAGAGCTGGTTCCACGTTACACATGACCTGCTGTGTGAGGTCTGCTGACAGGTGGACTTGGCATCCGGGCTGCTCCACCTGGAGGTTTTGGTACAGGAAGAGGAGGACCACGCCTCTGGAATGAGGTCTGGCCACTCTCTCTCAAAGTCAGGGCAAAGCCTAAATCCTTGTCGCTGGGTCCAAGAGAACAAAGGCAGAGAAAATGGCTGAAAAGAGAGAAGGTTTATGATTTTGTGCAATATTTTAGAATTTGACATGTGTTTTGTTACCTATAAAAAAGTTGGGACTTTTTTTTAAAGGATCATTATTGTATCTAATACTATTCTCAGAGTCTTAAGAGAATTATAAAAAGCAAACTTCTTCACAACTCCCTAACTTTCAATGTCTTGAGGGCTCAAGGAGAGAAGGCAAGCATATATGGCAGATAGGAAAATCATTTTTTCCAAAGACTAAATATGCCAAATTTTGGCACTTGGTAAATTAATCTGTCAAAGCCGATTCATTAGAGGAATTAGGCTAAACTCTGTCAAGGCAGTCATGACATTTTCAGATACTGGCTCATGGAGGGTTACAGTCAACATCTGTCCAGAGACTAGGAGTCGTCTGGAATACCTAAGTAAGCCAGTTTATCAAGCAGCCCTAGGCAGCTGCCAAGTGCATCCTGGCCATCCTCGGGCCATCTGAGGCACAGCCTCTAGACCAGCCTGCACTCAGAATTCCCTTCAGGCAACACCCGAGGCTCCTGTTCCTTGTGGGCAGAAGTCAGAAAAGCATCAACAGGTTCGCATCACTGTAAACACACAACCCATCTGGGCAGTACTTGGTGCAAGTAACTAAAGCAAGTTCTGGAAGACTAATCAGTACAATACTCGACAGGATGAAAGTCGTCGTTTTTGTACTTGGGGGTTTAAACTGAAGACACTGCTTATCATTCTGGATATCAACTAGCTGCATACTAATATGCTAAAATCGGGGTCAATATTTAGAATGACAATTTCAGAGGAACAGTGACAGTGAATCAAATCTAAGCACGTAAGGGGAAAAAAAAAAGAGAGGGTCTTCTGTCCATTCAAAGTTAAAAGTTATCTCCCTAAAAGAAAAAAACTTTCCCAGTAAGAAGAATTAAGAAGTTGCTTACTTTAATTCTAAAAATATAAGCATTTCCTGTCCATTCACAGCAAATTAGAACATAGTCTAGCATAAACTAGCCATACTAACTCAAATTTCTTAAGATGAAATTTCCAGGAGGTTGGACTCTAGACTAAAAGGTCACTTCGAAGTTTCTTGAATCATGTGCAGTTTGAATGCAACAAATAAACACCAAAACGTCCATAACCCTTAACCGTAACTAAGTTTTAAAAAATTATGTAGAAAGATAAAACAGGAAATTAATCTTAATCTATAATAGTACAGATGCTTATTTCCTCAAAGTCTCATATAAAGTAACTTGGATTTCTGCCTGTTTCAAGGATTACAAAAAAATATAAATTTCCTTTCATTTACTGGACAATGCTTCAGGTAAGCAAAAACAGAATAGGAAGCATTTGTTTAAACTGATGTGTATTTCGGACGAGGCAGATCAAGGTCCCTGATTACTAGTAAGTATTTTAGCTACTGAGTAAGCTCAATAATCAGGTCCTAAAATGATCAATATAATACTGACTGGAAACAGTAAAGAATTTGTTGGATTTTTAAAATAAATATTTAATTCTAAGATAAAGATCAAACTCGTTGGAAGTTTTTATACAAATAAACAAACTTAGGAAGAAAAAAAAAAAGGATGACTCGCAATTTCGCGGCCAGGTGGACACTGGCTTGCGCCTGGCATCGCCTGCACGGGGAGCCAGAGTTTTCAGCACTGAACTGCTCACCCGCTCAACCTTGGTTTAGTGACTTGCGGTTTCATGGGTTTGTGCTGGCAAGTGAACTATTATGAAAAATATGAAGTAAGCATACTGCACAAGAGAGGCCTTCTTCTGAAGATTAAACAACTGTTAGATATTAGTAATTTAATAAAAAATGTACTTTGATAAGTTGGTCCTTAGTAAGGTTATAAAACGGTAAAATCTCAGTTCTACCTTTCTCTCTTATAAAAGACCAGAAAGAAAGAACTGATAACCACCATGCTAGTTTATTAGTAATCACTCTACATAATGCTTGCTTGTACATTATGTAGACATACAAAACTTAAGACATTAAATAAATGCCAAGTGTAAACACCACCAGCCAATTCCAGAATTAAACTGAAATTAAAAATTACTGGGCATCAGTATGTCCGTTAGTAGAAGGTCATTCCAGTCAAGGAGCTCTCCTTCCCAGGGGTTTTCAGAGGCACACGCTTTCTCAAACTGTGACACCAATCTCTTTGGCAAGGACCTGGCCTCTCCCTTCACACAATGGTAAAGTGAGAATGGGGAAAAACCTTTAAAAAAATCCAACTGTGACTGAAACACACATTTTTTATAATTTCACTTGGAATTCTAAATAAGGGGAAAACCGTAATTTGGTCCCACTCTCTCGGGCAACTTAAGTAGTTCTCAGCAGCACAGGAGACCCAGAGTAAGCCAAGAACCCCTCCCTGGCTGTCAGTGTGGATTCTCATGTTGCCGTATCAGCTGCTGAATTCTAGTGCCTGCCACCCCGGCTCCCCTCCTGGGAGGGCCAGTCACTCCCACATACACAGAAAGAGTGGGACCACGGAACTCTAAACATTCTTCAGAGCTTAATCTTAATTTATGATTAAAAACATTTACATGATAAACCACAATTAAGATTACACTCTCCTTCTGGGTCAAAATAAAACTTAAAAGGAAAGTATGCTGATCGCCCCCCCTCTATAAAATCATTTTGTGTGTGTGTGTGTGTGTGTGGTTTGTCTTTTTTTTTTAAAGTTAAAAAAACCTGGCCAAACCTGGTTAACTTGAATCAATGAAATAGCATGTCAAGCCAAGGCAACAAAAGAAAAGGGAAAAGAATTCTTGGCTCTAATGTTCATGTTTCCACTCATACACACCAAATAAAACATAATTTTCCTAGATGGCCTAATTTATTCTTTTTCTTAACAAAGTTTATACTGACAGTTTGAGAAATCCTGAAACAGAGGTACCTTTAGGCAAATGGTAAGGAAATTAGGGGATTATATGCCAATTACCTCATGAAATATATTAGTATAATAAGTTTGGAAAAATTAAAACAATTCCTACATGTGAAAAACAGATCAGATGAAATCTTACGTGTACTCCGGTGCAGAAATCGGTGCCTGGAACCTGGACATTTTATTTCCTGGGGCAGAATCTGATCTGTGCCACCTTAAATAATAATTACGCTTTTACACATTCAACTTTATTATCACAAAGAAAAAACTAGATATGACTCTATGGCTCAGAGTTCATTTTTGTGCTGACAGCTAACAGTAATTAACCCTGCTGCCTCTTGAAAGTAATTAAGAACAGGGCGACAGTTCCAAGACCTCGATGTCCACCCATTCTTAAAGCCAAGGAAGGAAATAAAAGTGCAAATGTTCATGACAAATGCTCATCCACTTCAACTGACTAGACTAAGGCAGCAAGAGTTTAATAATCACTCTATTACAGTACAATATAGCGAGCTCTGCGCCATTACTGTATTTTTTTCTTGCTGCAACAGTATCCCTGACTCTAGAATATGCTCACGGTAAACACAATTCCCAAGGTTAATGAAATTAAACTTGTCAATACTAAACGCAACAAAGAAATCAAATTATGAATTATAAAATGAACAATGGTATGGCAAAAAAAGGTAAAATAAAAAATATAATTAATGTATGTATGACAATGAAAATATGTACAGTTAAACGTTCATGGTATTTAACTATTAAAAAAATTGATACAAGTCCACAATTTAACATGAGATTTTCAATCTCATTAAACATCCTTAAGACATTAAAAAAAAATCAAGGCTTATGTAGCAAGCACTACTCGCCCGTTAAGAGGCACTTAAATCCTTCTGTGTGCCCGAAATCACACCTGTCAGGGCTGTTCACCCACAAAACACCCGCTCCACTTCTCAGACATACAGAACGCATACAGTCAGACTTGTGAAGGCCAGCATCTGCGCCAGGTGAAACCTGTCAGAGAACTCGAGCAACTTTCACACTCAAAACCAATCAATAGAAAAGTGGTCAGGCTGTATCCTGTCAGAAGAGGGAAAATCCAGGCAGTCCCTCTTGAGTGTTGGCTCTCACAAGCTTCTCTGCACTTTGCAAGAGAAACCAGAAGGGATGCTATACTAAAACTGTTCTACTTTCCTCATTAATGTGGAACATCAAAGGAATAAAAGTCCTCAGCAGGAATTTTTACTAAAAAACTTGGCTGTCTTTATTATAAACAGAAAATCAATAAAGTTACCTTAGCCATAAGAAATAGCGCCTTTCCTGTATTTGTGTATTCGGAAATATTCCAGAAAAATGGTCTCCTAGGCCTGCCTGATACATCCCTGGATAACTACAGAGGAGCAAATACTGAATTAAAAAAAAACAAAAAACCCAACTCCCCCTTACTAATGGGGTGCATTTTCCAGCTAAGTGCCCCCTGAAAGGGAAATCCGTTTTAATTCGTTTTTCCCTGTAAGGTCCTTCAGAAAGGGGAGCAGTTCTCTTCCTCTCCGTAACTAACACAATTAACAGAAGATTGTAAATGGAAATCAGAAATTCACTGACTGACTGACTGACCCTACTGGAAAACTTGACCATAAAATAATTTTTTAAAACAAGATAAAAGTTATATGAAGCAAGAAATTTTTCCTGAAATATCAAAGACCTTACTACCCCGACAGAAACTCCTTCTGTATCTCTCTGCTTCATAGCCAGCTCCAAACTAGAACTTGACACCACATCATGCAAATGCTAGAGCTGTACTGTCATCTAGTTACGCTGCCTGGATACTTAAATGCTGTGCTTTTCACTCCAGCTGCAGGGTCGGAGCAGGATCATCTCCTGGTTCTTCTCCCATCACCAGAGAAGCTAAAATAACACTGGCCGTCTCAGATAGTCCATGATAAATAAACTCATGAGAACAAGCAGGAAAATGAATACAAGAAGAACCAGTTGTAAAAATCTATTTCAGTCTCTCATCATCTACTTAAAAAGGCCATTACAAGTGGCCCTGAGATGTAAAATTCTGACAAGTCTTCAAAGGGAGATTTTACTTGTAAAAATCCATTAATTTTAATAAAATAAAAAGTACCTGTTTGATCTAAAACCTCTTGTGGTGGATCAAGGAGTACAAACATAACCACACTAGAGGAAAAGGTTTAAACAAATAGTCCTTTAAATGAAAACGTTTTTCAAGAAAAAAGAACGCTATCTAATTAGTCAATGAATCAGGAGGCAGGCAAAGAGATAAAAAATTCTTCTGGGAAGGTAAAACAAAACAAAACAAACCAAGCCTACACACACACACACACACACACACACACACACACACTCTCTCTCTCTCTCTCTCCATAATTAATCTGCTATGCAATGTTGTTTACCATGGCTCATTAGAAATAGGCAGAAAGGGCTGGCTCCTTTTTTAGGACAAATAAGTTAACTTTAAAATAAAATGAAAGTATATACTGTTTCCTTATTTTTTTAAAAAATCTATAAGCTCTAGAGAAACATGTTTCAGAGCTACACATAACTTAGTACTTACCTTTATCAATCTGTCTACAGAGCATCTTATCAATCACGTTAAACATAGAGCAGACACAGAGAAGAGGTTAATGGTACTGAAACTCTTCACAGCTGACAAAACTGGGGTACAACAGATCTGAAACACTAGGGGAAGTTATTTAGGAAAAGGCAGATGCAGATAATGCCTAGAAAAAGCCTGGGAGGAGACCCAATGCTGAGTGGTTCTACTCACATAGAGTCATTCCTGACCAGCTGTCCATTCTGGCGAACAGCATTTTCACTCATAGAACGCTCTCTTTTTAGTCTGCCCACTGCCCGAATCTGTGGAGGTACAAAGAAAGGAAAAGGAATAGGAAATTCTTAGTAGGCTAGTAACTGCTTAGCATCAAAAGAACCTTAATCCAAAGCTACTCACAAAACATTTACAGAATACATAACCAAGAACAACAACTAGGATCTGCAGGTGTATTAAAACAGACCCTTGCTCTAAATATAGATTAACTAAGAATGTTTATTTTTTTTAAAAAAAAGTTTTTATACTGATTTTTTTTTAAATATCACCTTTACTTGGTACAATTACTGATGTTATAATCAATATTAAATATTTTTATTATTTATAAGCACAATGTAAAGGACTTTTTAAAAGCACATACATAGTAGAAATGAGATGTATTGGTATTGTTAGTTCTTGGCTTCAAAACAAATTCAGATTTGGCTGGATGGCTGGAAATGGACTAAAATGAGTCCCTACAGTTTAATAGCGTGGCACCCGAGAAACGGCCACAGGACTACCTCCCATTCTACTTGTACTTTTCAGAAAATGTACCTTTGACCTCGTTCCATTAACGGATGAAATTATGTCCTCTCCCTTGAGACGGAGTGGTCTAATGACTGCGGGACAAGTGATGCAACGAGGCTTCTGAGGCTAGGTCATAAAGACCACACAGCTTCTGCTTCTGTTACCGGGAGGAAGGCCTAGCAGTCACCTGGAGCACCAGGGAAGGGGTGCTGGCTGACACCCCCACTGCAGGCCCGGGAGGGCAGCCAGGATGCACAAAAGCCTGAGTGGGGCTTCACTTAACGCAGCCCCAGACAAACACTGCGGTGAAGCAAGCTCTCAGCACACTGGCCTCGCTGCAAACCCCTGGAACAGACACACAAGGAAAAGACCTCTTTCTGTGGTTTGACACCACTAAGCTTAGGGAGGTTTGTCACTTGGCAAGAGAACCAGAACAATGGTCATCACTACTTCTTCTGCTTGTTTAGAATATGCTTCCTGAATGAGGAAAAAAACGCACAGACCAGTGCTATACCACCTAGAAGAATTTTTGACAGGAAAAGAATTTGAACCTGGCCAAGGGCCGCAGATGAAAATCACCCACCTTCGGCTTGGTAGCATAACTTCCTTCCCACTAGGCCAACGTAGCTCTCTCTGTCGTTGTCATTGTTATTGTTGTTCGGTGCCATCGAGTCGTAGACGACTCATAGCGACTCTATGAATGAACGACCTGAGCACTGTTCGTACATAGGGTTTCCGGAGCCAACCCATTTCGAAAGTGGATGCCGCTCCTGCTTCCAGGCCACCAGAGCTCCTTTTTAAAAATCCTGAGTGTTAGGGAGCTTTTGGTGGCCTAGTGGTAAGAAACTGTGCTGCAATCCCAAAGGCGTGCAGTTTGGATCCACCAGATGCTCTGCTGGAGAAGGGGCGATCTCTTCCTGTGCCAGTCAGATCTGATATGACGGTACACAGTAAGAAAAAAAACAAAAAAAACAAAAAGTCCTGAGCGTGCAGGAGTCCTTCTCCCCTGTTTTTAAGATGTAGCTGGGTTGCTCACTATACTTCAGGTCATCTGTGGTCTTCCACTTCACACGCTGAGGCATGTCATCTCACTGCACAGGTCCATCCCACTCACCGATCAACCACCTGCCTGATTCCGTCCTGCTGCAACACAGGTCTACGCGGTCTGCTGGACAGCCAAGGCCTCTGTGTCATCCTCCGCCAGGTGAGCCGCTGCCCAGAGACCACTGCTGAGGAGGGCTAGAGGGATAATCTTTGAGCTCCAGCTGTACAATTTAACAAAACTGCCACAGAATTTGGCATTCTGTGAACATCTGATGATGGTTTCTGGATAAATGGTTAAGTGTTCTGAAAACACACAGTGCCTTTCTCCTCTTTCAAAATGAGATCGCACTGATCACGAAGGCCAACTGGTTTTATGCTGTTGCTTCACAGGTCCGCCCGTCTAGCTGTGAAGTGTTTTCTTTTTCATGTTGAGGGGTAATCCTACTGAAGGTCTTCAGAAATTGCTTCATGTTCTCTCCACGTTCAAAAGTACTGTCACCTCCATATGGTGATGAGTCTTCCACCAATGCTGAGGCCACATTCTTCCTCATCTAGTCCAACTTCTCAAATCATCTGCGCAGCATATTTACTGAGTATCATGAGAGAGTACTGCACTGACACCTTTCCCGACCTGAAATCCTGCAGTATCCCTTTGTTCTGTCTGGACACCTGAATCGCTTCTTGGTCTAAGTAGACCAGGATTCACATTAACACAAACACTGAAGCTCCATGTAAGACTCAAGTTGTCTAGAATTTCACCTTTCTAGGACTTAAAATCAACACCCATGGACTCAGCAGTCAAGGCAAACCTACCGTCAAGGCCTGTAAAAGTGCTAAAGAGCAAGGATGTCATTTTAAAGACTAAGACATGCCTGATCTATGCCATGATATTTTCAAGTGTTTCATATACATGCGGAAGTTGGACAATGAATAAAGAAGACTGAAGAACTGATGTCCCTCAAATGCGCTGGGAAAAAAATAGTGAATATACCAAGCAAGGATTGCCAGATGAAAAAACACCTCTGTCCTGGAGTAAGTGTAGTAACCAGAGTACTCCCTGGAAGAAAAGATGGCGAAACCATCTCCCATGCTGTGGGCATGTTATCTAGAGGGGCATGTCTCTGAAAAATGACAATAGGTTTGGAAAAATAAGAGGGTCAACAAAGAGAAGAAGGCTCTTCTCAATGAGCTGGATTGACACAGTGGCTGGAGCAACGGGGTGAGGGACAGCAGAGATCGTGACAGGGCAGCATCAAACAGGGGCTCATTCTGTCATGTTTAAGGGTTGCTATGCGCTGGAGCCAACTCAGTGGCATCTAACAACAACAGCAAAACATCATCTTGGCTTCAAGTTCAAAGTGCATCAAGCCTTAATGTTCCCACTCATCTTCTCTTTCTGTGCAGCCTGCATTTCAGCTGGCTCCAGGGAGAAGGCAGAGGAAGCAGGACCGGGTCACTGCTTCCTTCTCCTCATGCTCAGCTTCTCGAAGACACCAAGAGTCGCCAGGAGGCAGGTACATGCAGCTTCTCGCTAGGCAGAAGGGACAACCAATGCTCCTGTCCTGGAGTTAACTGTCCAATGTGGATAAGGATCTGTGGATGGGGTCAGTTAAGGACTGAAGGGCGACTGGTGCCAGCACGCTGCTGCCTTATCAGTTGGGTCTGGAGACAATTTTACTCCGTTCCTCACAAGCATCTTCTTGTTGTCTTTATCTTGGCTTAGGCTGATAGTTTTCAACCAGGTGGTTTTATCCTCCAGGTGACATTGGGTAATGTCTAAAGACACTTTTCTTTGTCTAAAAACTGTGGTAAGACCCAAGTAAAAAGTCACCACTGTTAAGTAATTTGGTTGAAGGGAAAGGCAATATACAATAAGGGGCTCATTAGACATTGCTGTTAACTAACTAATCAGTGACAATTAATGTTAGGTATCAAACAAATGCCTATGATAATTATACGAAGAGTCAGATGACCTGTAAACCTTGACTTGAACAATAATTAGTAAAATCACCACTGTACTAATTTGAACGTGTATGGCCTTAAACAAATTCATGATCTTTATAACTATCTATCTGTATTTCTAACAATCTAGTTCTAGAACACCTTCCTCACCCCCAAAGGAAATCTCGTGCCCATTAAGTAGTTATTGCTACGAGTCGAATCGGAACCGGCTCAGAGCTGCCCCTGCAGTCGGTCTGCAGAGATCTTAAATCACATCGGATGATGTGCCTGTCTTTCTCCTGCAGAGCAGCTGGTGGATTTGAACTGCTTGCCTTAGGGTTGGCAGCACATCTTACTTCTAGGTACCAGAGCCCCCTTGATCAAGTGGTCACTCTCAAGTCCCCTCTCCCCAGAGCTCCTGGCAACCAATTACCTGCTTTCTCTGTCTACAGACTGGTGTCATCTGGATATTTCTTATAAATAGGATAGCTTATGTCTAGATTCTATCCTTGAGTAAAATGTTTTCCAGCATCATCCATGCTGTCGAGTAGTGGTGCTTGATTCTTTTTCTATGGTTGAATAAGAGTCTATTCTAAAATCTGTTCTCAATCTGTCTGGGGAAAACTACCGCCAGAGTGCTCCTTAGAGGGAAGGATAGGAGACTTCACCTCACATCCTCTGCACCTGTTACCAGCAGGGGCCAGGCCCTGGCAAATGCCACCAGGTTCGGCAAAGTAGAGAACCACTGAGAAATGGGAAAGACTATCAATGAGATGGGAAGTCACAGGGACTGAACACTGAGCTTCAACACAGCAGAGATGTGAGGATGGCAGACGAGAAGAGTTTCACTCTGTTGTGCACAGGGACGCCACGAGCTGGGGCCAACCTGACGGCACCTCACACTGTCACACACGCGCACGGTTTCTGTATCCATCTATCAGGTGATGGATGTCTAGGCTCTTCCCAGTTTTGGGCAAGTGAAAACATTCTGACTAATTACTTGGGTGATGCTGTCATTTCCTTGACAAGCGGTCAAGAAAGCTGCCAAGTTCTCATAGAGAAAAAGCGTCAACATGCCTCTGGCAAGAGATTTACTACATCCTTCTGTAGAAGAGGAGAAGAAAAAGCATAAAAAGAAATGACTAGTTCAGAGTCTAAATTCTTATTTTATAGATGTAAAATGTCCAGGATGCTCCAAGATGACCACACTTTTCAGCCACACAGACCGTGGTTCATTGTGTAGGTTGTCCAATAGTGTTGTGCCAGAGCATGGGAGGAAAAGCCAGACTCACAGAAGGTTGTTCATTCAGAAGAAATCAGCCCTAATGCTCTGTACAACTTCCTGAATTTCTATTCGGTCACAGAAAGTCTTGCTGTTGTTATGTTCTGTCGAATTGCCGGTGACTCAATAGCAACCCTAAGTACAACAGCCCTAAACCCTGCTCTATTCAGTGCCAATCTTATTGTCTCCGACACACCTACCCCATTACCCCAGACACTGAATCAATCCATCTCGAGGGTCTTTCCTGCACAGTCCCTCCATGCTCCCAAGCATGATGTCTCTCTCCAAGGATGGGTCCCTCCTTGCAACATGTCCAAAGTATGTCAGACAATGCTTTGGAATCCTTGCCTCCAAGTGGCAGCCTGGTTTAACCCTCTCCAGGATGAACCTGTTTGTTCTCCTAGCAGTCCAAGGTACCTTCAATACTCTTCTCCAGTACTACAGCTCAAAGGCATTGATTTTCCTTCTATCATCCCTAGTCATTGTCCAGGTTTCTGATGCATAGCAAGTGATAGCAAAGACCATGGCCTGTATCAGGCTCACTTTAGTCTCCAGAATGACATCACTGCTCTTCAGTACTTTGGGGAAGTCTCTGACAGCAGACTTACAGAAAGAGTTGCTGTTGTTGTTATGTGCCGTCGAGTCTCTTGAGACTCATAGTGACCCTAGGTACAAGAGTTCTAAAACCTGCTCTAGCCTGTGACAACTATATTGTCTCTGACACACCTACCCACCATTGCCCCAGTCACTGAATCAATCCATCTCATCGAGGGTCTTCCTCTCCTGCACTGTCTTATACCTTTCAATCTATATGCAGAACAGATCATCCGGGAAGCTGGGCTGTATGAGGAAGAATGTGGCATTATGACTGGAAGAAGATTTATCAACAACCTGTGTTACACAGATGACACAACCCTGCTTGCTGAAACTGAGGAAGACCTGAAGCACTTGATGCAGAAGGTCAAGGACTGCAGCCTTCAATATGGATTGATGTTGAACATCATGAAAACAAAGATTCTCACCACTGGGCCAACTGGCAGCATCATTATGGATGATGAAGAGACTGGAATTGTTAACAGTTTTAGTTTGCTTGGTTCTACAGTCAACAGTCTTGGTACTAGCAGCCAGGAAATCGAGAGACAAACTACATTGGGAAAGAAGGCTGTCAGGAACCTCTCCAGAGGACTAAAGAGCAATGACGTCAGTCTGGAGACTAAGGTGCACCTGATCCAGGCCACAGTCTTCACAATTGCTTGTTATGTGTCAGAGAGCTGGACAGTGA